CTAGCGGGGAGTTTGTTGTGGATTTCGCGTTGCACGCGTCCAGTCTTGTCATTTGCCGTTCATAAGATGACGAGAAGAACCCATGATCCAAGGGAGCAAGACTTACAACTTGGTAAAAGGATTTTACGATATTTAAAGGGAACAAAATGTTTGAAGTTGAAGATGAGAAATCAAGAGCAAACTAAAGACTTACCTGATGGTTTTATCACCGGCTACAGCGATGCAGACTTCCCTGCGGACACCGAGGACCGCAAATCCATTACTGGAGGCGTGATATTTGTAGGAGGGTGTAATGTCGGATGATACATAACTACATAGCTACAAGCAGAATGCATTCACTTGGAAACTTACCTTCAAACCACCAGGTCCTCCCGTCCTATCTGTCATTTACAGCACTTTGCGCATAAGTAGCGTATCGGGCCACCGATTTAGTTCAGCACTGCGTGTGTGTGCTTTTTCAGAAAAGACGTCCAGAACCTCGCCCAAGAGGAATTTATGGGGATGTATGCTCCCGGAGACCGGAAGTTTGAGTACGCGGTATCAAACAACTATGCATAGTCGAGGCGTAGATAGAGCAAGGACTCGCGCAAGCATATGTTGGAAGTGAAATAATCTCGAATACCGAAGGACTATATACAGTTTACAACTTCGTTACGAATTAAAAAGACTGGTGTTTCTCCAATTCATGGATGAGAGAGTCGAGCGCGATGATGCAAGGATAAAAATTACGAGAATCAGTAAAAGGGAAATCGCTGAGAAGATCTATGCTATGCTTTAGAAGACGACTAGCTGCTCGCGCTAATGGATGCAAGCGAGTGAATTTAAAGCAGGCAAGCTGGTACTAGCTCATCACATAATTGATTCACAAGACCATAGTAGAAACGCTCTTAACTATAAAAGAAGGCAGAATTAATAGTAATACAACTTCCCTGTGTTTATTTGTGGATGCCGCTTCTTGCGGGTGTTATTATCGCGCGATCGATCGTCGCTATCCTGCTGCTTAGGTTCATAAAGAGCTCACCCAAAATGAAGTCGTACTTAATTGAGCTGCTATGGTGCTTCAATTCTATAGTATATTGCAATTATTCTGGAAACATCGATTCCAAAATTTTCGTCTTTCTGTGACATTTAGCATTTTAAAATAGTAAGAAGAGCGTGATGATGGCGTCGAGTCGTGGTTTCATCCGTCGCTCAGTCTTTCTCGCCACAGCTTTAGCCAGTAAACGTAGCACTGTACACACTGCTTCCGTATCATTCAAGGTTTTTCAGCATTTACAGGTGGCGCGAACGTTCGCTCAAAATCGTCTTCAAAGCACTCAGACGACTGCTGGAAATGAAGAACGACCCCAATCTGAATCATCGGTGGACCTAGAGCAGCGTATTTTGGCTAAGACAATGGACAATGTACCAGTGCATGGGTAAGTTGTATTTAAGTCAGTCATTGTTTAGGTTTTTGCGTTGAGAAGGCTAATTAATATGTCGAAAGATGGACCGTTGAAGCCTTAGCAGCTGGTGCCATTGACCTTGGCTATCCATCTGTGGCCCACGGGATGTTCTCTCGAGGAGCTATTGAGCTTGTTGATTATTTTATGGACACGTGTCTCAACAAGCTACGTGAGACACTAATTAACAACACGGAGAAGCTGCAGGCTATGACCGTAGCTGAACGCCTGAAATTTGGCGTCCGCACGCGTTTAGAAATGTTGGAGCCAGTGCTGGCGACCTGGCCGCAAGGTATGGCAATTGGTGCGTTTCCGCAAAATGCACCTGGTACTGCAAAGAGACTGGCAAAGCTTTCGGATGAAATTTGGTATTTTGCTGGTGACAAGTCTACGGACTTATCGTGGTATACAAAGCGAGCCATTCTTTCGGCCATTTACGCCAGCACCGAGCTATTTATGCTAAACGATAAATCACCGAATCGTCAAGAGACCTGGGAATTTCTAGATCGTCGTGTGGATGAAACGATTTCACTCGGAGAACTTCCTCAGAACGTAAGTGATACTTTTTTTTTCTGATCATCTTGTTATTAGACTAATTTCTTATTGTCTTGTCTTCAAGCTAAATGATGCACTGATAATGGCTAATATTGGCCTTCAATCCGTCTTTTCCGCTGTGACATCGCTCGCAGGTCCCTTGCAAGCTAAAAATCTTTGGCCAGTACTTGCTTCTGACTCTTTCAAAATGGCTCGAGTAAAGACTTCATCAGCTGCTACATGTGCTTCTGACAAGCGATAAGAGCATTTTGTTCTCAAGTTAAGAACCACAGATTGCACCTAAGAACAATCATAAAGCTTCTTTTTCTTGCGTGTCACTTGATTATAGCTGAATGAGCAGCACAATCTGATAGATTACGTGGTGCTAAAGTCAAATATATTTAATTTGTTAGGATGTAGGATGGCTCTATAGCTACATGCACACGGGACCCTCAAAAGAGAAATGAACTTGCAACCTCAAACACCTTCCAGTGATTATGGCAATGCTATAAGTTTATGAGCGGCTTCTTGTCCACGAAACAGAACGGAACACCGAGCGAGCATGCCAATGCATGTAAATGAATTCTATGTTCTCTCAGTAGTGTGTTGAATACATTTTTGCATCCACATTCGCCAAGAAATGTACGTGACTATCAGTTTTAGCATGGAATTTCTTACATCAAAGAGAACTATGAAAGAAAAGGAGAAGTGTGTTGAAAGTGAGAATAATAAAGGGAAGTTTAATTGATTGGATGAGCGCTATTTAATATTTCGCCTGACCAGAGTATACGGCTGACTGACCAATCACTTAGAAGTAAATAAATTAGTAAATTGTTATAGCAACTATGATACTGAAAATAGACAAGAATAATTGCATATTTATCGCTCTTTGAACAAGAACACTTAGTATGTTGATACAATTTAGGGTAGGCTGTTGGCTATGTTGATCTTGGTGAAAGCAGAGGTGTCTAGTCGTTATGACCGCACAACTAGTACTAGTTCGAATGAGGGAGGAGCATCAAAGAGACAGTTACCCTGAATACGTGAGCTGATACCCTCACGCTTTGCTTACCATCGTATATCCTGAAACAGGAATATTGTTAATTATCTAAGCAAGAAATTTCACTTTGTCACTCTTGAAAGCATCAAGGTTCATTCTAGCTTGTGTCTGTTGCCGGGTGAAGTGTACAAAGGTTGCTTAGTAACAGAATCTAAGCTTTTCTGTCAGGTTTTAATGGCTTCATGACATTAATCTTTTGAAAAATATTACTTCTGACGTTTAATAAGAGTGACTACATGTAGTACTAAACACTGCTTTTTTATTATTATCCCACTTCATATCTTCAATAAGCCTTTCCGACTCTCCTTGGATTCGAGGTCATCATTGTTCATTCTCCTAACCACAAAAGCCAATCATCATACCAATCGAATCACGATGTTGTTAGCTGCACAAAGCTTTGTTCATCGTACATGTATTACACTCACTCACCCTTCAAATCGAGAATTCTTAGTCCTTCCAATAATGATGTCCAAGTTCGAAAGTTGTTCAGATCATGGGAAGTACCAAGAAACTGCATCATAAAGCTGCCAGGTCCAAGGATTGATTGTTGAATATCTCGGTGGCAAGGGTTGAAACAGGCATTGACAAGTAGTACGACATTCTTCGAACATGTGCACTGTAAACAGAATTACGAAAGAACATCCGGTGTGGACGAATTCTTTATCCAGTTAAAAATTCCACGAACATTCGGAGAATAGAAGATTCGGAGAACCAGACTCCCAACATACCCTAACAAAGACAAGAGCGTTCTACAACACACGACGTCATTTCCAACAAGAACTAGCTAGTAATAGTGATTGCAGGAAGAAAGCCTTGCATGTCTATAGAGTGGGACATGGACATGTCAATCAAGATTGTCGAGACAGCTGCAATTGTCGTACATAGTGTATCCACTTGGCACTGTCTACTTTAATATCGATAAGATTTCCTCATCATGTCATTCTTTCAACTTCTTCATGTCGACGTCATCATCTTTGTACGCCAATGAATTTTGTATTGTCACAGACCAGCTGGTTAACTGTACCCATGTTCAAATTGTGTCAAAAAAATCCATTAAAAAAAAAGACCCATTTTCTGTCCTAATTTCATATTACAAGAGGTTACGTCGATTACTATATTACATCAAGTCACGAAGCGATCTCAACCCCACGTTTCTTTGATTCTTCTGCTACTTGTGCGGCTTCAATAGGTGTAACTGGTACTACATCCTGCTCAAATTGATGAAAGCAGATGATAATAGCACTAACATTATCCGTTGAACCTAATGCAATAGCATGACTAACAAGTTCTTCCGTAGCATGTTGTACATTTCCATGAAGTCGTAACTTTGTACGTACAAAATTCACCACATCTTGTGGTTTCATAACATCGTACAATCCATCACAACCAAGAACCATAAATTCATCTTGACTTGTAATCTCATGAACAACAACATCAGGTATCGCACTGACCAAGTCGCCATTAAATCGTTTCTTAAATTCACCTCTTCCTGTTTTAAAATCAATATCACCAAAAGCACGTGAAACACCTAACATTCCATAGATTCGTCCTTTTGTAATTTGTCCTTTAGCAGCTAAGATACGAGCACGTTCAGTTGATAATTCGGGTGTATGTGCAATACACATATTTGTCGCTTGTCCATTTGTCGATAACACAATTTGTGAATCACCAACTGATGTAACAAGTGCAGAAGTACGTCGAAGAATTACAGATACAGCCGTTGATCCACTTGGTAATTGAGCACTAAAAATTGCTTCATCAGTAGCTGCGTATGCTGTTTTTACGGCTGTTTCCCATGTCATTGGTGTTGACATTTGTAAATGATGAAAGACATTTTCATGTAATTGATGAGCAATAAATTCTGCTACTTCAGGTCCACCATGTCCATCGTAAAGTCCAAAAAATGCATGAAAATCCTGATGAATTTCTCGTGATGCAATTGCTTGTCGATCTTCATTTTTCTTTCGGATTCCTGTATCTGAATAAACTCCATAAGTAACTTGTAATCGTGGAAAGTATTGATGATTACGTTGATGTAACACAAGTGTTCGTTCAGTCTCTGATGCAGTTGTTGCTGTACTAAAGACACTTCCATTTGGACTCTCAGGTGTACAATGACTGATATCTGGTGAATGAACATGAGCTTCTAATGTCATTCCATGTTCACCAAATATACTAAAAACATCACGATGTGAATCAGTTCGAGGAAGTCGATGAGCTCCCACGCCACTTTCATCTCGTGCTTGTTGTTTTGAAGCTGCTTGTAAGAAAATTTGACTGAGACTTGGACGAGAAGGTTGTGGACTAGATGGCATTGCGTCCTTCGACGTCTGACAGCCCATGGTAAGTTTGGGGAATCGAATGATTGCTGCTTTTGAACAAATGTACGTACGTAGACGAAAAATGTTGTACGTACAAGACCAAAATGACCTGTACCAGATGGTGGGTACGACAGATCTTAGGGGTCGTAATACTCACTTGAGAGCAACCTTGCTGTTCTTAGAATGGGGTTGCTGGATGGCAAACGAGTATTTTTGCACACTCCGTCAAGAGCCAGCCAATCGCGATACGACGTTCGTACAGTGCAGACTCTTTGTATACAACGAATGTCTGATCGCTCATGACTTACATGCGCGACGCCACACGGACATTTTGATCCGTTTCAATGCAGTTTCGTCTGCACTTTTTGGTACGTCGAACCAGTCTTAAGGTACATGCCGCTTCGCACGTATAGCCAGATGGCGTATGTACCACTTGCATGACGCAAAAATCAACGGGTACATACGGTACAGGTTTGCCAAATTCTTTTAGTGTCGTACAAACTATTTTAAATGTTCTTACTTCGAGGTCACATCCCTCGAACTACTAACGACACTGGAATCAGACGCACGTGCGTAACCACGTGCAGTTTACAACCCAAGACGAACTTGATCAACTAGCAACATGTGCTATACGTCTTGTCTATTCCAATCTTTGATACTGTATGTAGAGAGTATCGTACATTTAAGTTGGGCGTCACCAGAAACGACTTCAAACGCGACGTTTCCCATCTTCTGATACCCATTTTGGGCTATTATCTGATGCTACTGTCACCGCACGTAACTTTTCATTTCGGTGGCTGTTTTGTACTTTTGACATATCAGAGTGTAGTATACTACGATGAAAACATATTACAAAGATTTTTTAGTGAAGTAGTATTATGATGACTCGATTTACTATAATTGTTGCGGAAACGGAAAAGTGATAACAACCGACGTCACTGGAGGAATTCACTGGACAGAAACAAGGATATATGTTCACAAGTAGCCGTTAGAAACCACAGTGTTGTATGAAGTGAAGGAAACTGTGTGTACTTGAAACATCGCTTGTTAATTTTTTTAGTAGTTGAATATTTTAAGAGGTTATTGTCAGAAAAAGCTATGGGGTAAATTGGAGTCATTACTGATATTTTTAGAAGAAAATTAAAGAATCAACCAGATAAACAGATATAGAAAAACGGTATACCAGATATATGATAGATCAAAAGAATATACCAAGTGTATACACTTCGACATATTTGTTATGTCAACAACAGTTAAGAATACGTCAAGAGCGCACAAAGAGAAAGTGACAAGCTGTCTTGGTACTAGTATTTTTATTTGGAAATTTACTTTTCTTTGTCTGAGCGAGCGACAATAGTGACGATCGTGTAGTGCATACAGATTACGTACTCTGGTTATCCTTCTGCCGCAAAGTTATGTATTGCACTGAGAATTGTCTTTATAGATCATCGCGCATGAGTGAGCGCTCTACGAGCACCCACTTTTTTTATTCATTGTATCTGCCACTGCTTGCTTGTACAAACATCACTTGAGTCGTGAGTCCTCAATCTTACTTTTTCAGATTGTTTAATGATCCACCGAGAAAAACGTGGCTCTCGCAGACGATAACCAACGAGCCAAACTCGATGAGGAAGCTGATATATCTGCAAGCAGTCGTTATAATTCCTCGTTTTCATCGTAGCCCGTAGCCTCCGTCTTCATCGAGAGACAAGCAACAAAGCCGTATACCAAAGCCGATACTGCATCTAAGCCTGGCTTCTCGTCTGCATGAATTGCGTGCTCCGTGTCCGTTACCTTGTTGTGACTTCCGACTCATAACATCGTCAACAGCTAAACCTGGCTTAGCAAGCCATACTTGTCTGTCTTCTAGCGCAAGAGCTACAACGGCTTTTGAAGACCCCATCATGTCTTGATTTGACCTTAACCCATCAAGTTTCGCTTTCTGTGAGCTGGGAATCTAATACAAGCATCCACCGCTCAAACAGAGAGACTAACGAGCGCTTTCCGACCCTTAAGATTTTCCCGAGTATACTTGCGCTTGGGGCATAAACGACCCGATAATCTGCATAGAAACTGTACGTTAGTACTGAGCGCTGGCGTAAGTGCCGAAGAGTAACGCACTCAATTTGCGCACTAGGGGGAGAAGGCATGTCGTCTCATCTGTCTTATTGCTGTGAAGCTAGTTTCAGTGTAGCAGAAGTCCGACTGGAACGTCTTTGTTGCTTGGTGTCGCAAAGTACAAAGCTCGATGCTGACGTCAAGGTGGTTCACCTCACCTTAAATTAATGCTGTCAACAGCTCTGCTCATCTCTTTGATCCCTCTGGGGCAGCTGCCGGTCAAAAATCAATTTTAGATTAGAATGAGAATTGCGGAGGAGCAAAGAAATATATATCTTAATGGCTCGTTCAAGTGGGATATGGCGTGAAGAAGTCCACAGATAGCGACTTTTTCCATTTTCTTCAAATAAATGTGTATCTATCTTTGTCTCTTTCTCACCAAGACTATAAACGACCCTAGGTCGCGATGTCGAATCTTAGTTTATAGCTTACCAACACTTTATGTGTTAGGTATGCTAGCAGCGTGCAAAACGCCATTAAAATTACCACATAATATCTATCACGTATGTTACTTTTGCACTTCACGATTCTCAGCCATAGCATCGCGCAGTCGGTGCATGAGGCTTACTCTCATTGATATCATTTTTTATATTAAGTATAGCCCTTGTACATAATCCGACGACTGAGTAGTGAAGAGACTACGTTGTATGTTAGAATGTATAACACGTTGATCGACGATATTTCCTTTGGAAAAGCAGACACGCCGAAAGACCTTATGTCTTTTGTTTGCCACGACGCCATAGCAATCTTGGCGGGTAATTGGCCTCTAGCAGCGGTGAAATGATAACCGGAGGCGTTCGACAGCTTTGCGAATGCGCTGGCAAGACACTCCACGATGGCCGCAACCAGCCATCACACCTGCCACTACCGTGCGATCGCTAATGGTAATAGACAACACATAACATATCTAAGCGACTGATGTCGCGGTATTCGCATCGCCTAGTAAAGCATTTAAGTGCGAGTCAAGATTGCAACCCGTTAAGGAAAGCATGTATTGGCGAGATATGTCCAGGTGTTTTCGTCGCGATGACGGCAAGCGCATCCCCGGAGACGGTGAAGTAACCTTCTCTATAGGGCGTCTCTGAATGGGAGCAACTCGCACCAAGCCCTCTCGTGGCTACTCTACCTTTTGAGAAAGCGGAGGTGTTGCATTAAATTCAAAGAATGACCCTTGTTAAGCGTGGTAACGGAGGTGAAAGCTTTTCGTGCGCACCAAGGGTAATTTACTTCAGTCAAGCCAAGCTGGACGAATTTGTGTACATAGCAAGTAAGCCTTTCGGTACTCGCAGAAAGTTCATCTTATGTAGAACAAAACATCTAAACCTTGCGTGCTAACAACCTTTTCGCCCTATATGAGAGAGTCGCTTGTTCCAAGGCTGGGTCCCGTTAACCACGACCAACATGCGGAAAAATAGAAATCAATCTTTATCACTAAATCTCGCTTTTCTCTGGGATGGACTCCTTGCGTCGTGGCCCTGTCCTATATACCTCTAAGCGCAGAGCAAACAAGGTATCGAGCTTTGTGAAGCCTTGAAAATTTTGATGACTTCAGGAGCGTCGCTTGTTCGAATGACTGTCAAAAACGTAGATAGCACACAGATGCATTGAGTGTACGCGTTAAGGATACACTTTACGTGCGTCTTGCAACGTAGACGTGACAAAGATTCTTTTGACCCTTTTTGTGGGATGTGACAGCGTAGAGAGTTGTTTCATGCCGGACTTGCGATTGATATATGATTGCAACCTAGATATGGCGCGGCCATGATATATTGATCAACTCAAAGTCGAAAAAATTAGGCGTCACGCACGTTTTTACTAATGTAAGCTTGGTGGGTCACGAATACGTTTCTACTTGGGAATTGATGAGCCTTCAGCGCGAGCATAACGCTTCAATAGCGTTGATAAAGGGCATAAAACTGGCCTATTTATTCAGTAAAAATGTTCTAGACCGTCAGCAACGCCCAAAGTAGTACTGATTCGCAGTCTTAGTGTTAGCCCGAGAACACCGAACGTAAATAGCAACACTCTAGGCGCAAACGCCGATTCCTGGAAAGGAAGCGCTGATAAACAGCATCATCGGTTGCAATTTCTTGAGCTAGCTAATAATTAGTATCATCTGCTCGCAAGGGTCAGGAAATCTTCTCTCCTTGCGTGAGTGATCCGAACGAAATGCTTCAGGAGTAGATGGTATGCAACAGAAACGGTCTAACACACAGTCTTGCTCATTCCTTTGACGACGCAGCCGTTTCGCTTGCATCGTCCTGTGTATAAACCTTTGTTGACGCGTATTCGTTGATGTTCGTGCAGAGCACGGGAATTTGACCGTGGGCCGCTACATTGAATACTTATAACCTGAGCTAGAGTGTAGGTGCTCGGAAAACGTGTTTTGAGATCTAGACCAGTGTCACCTTAGCGCCTTCCTCTATCATGGTCTGCGGACAGGTATCAAATCAAAATAGACCATTGACCATCGCCTTTGTCCTCAAAATTGAGAAAATAGTGTGGCCTGGCCAACTACATGCACAAGCATAATACTAAATATGCCGACATGGGACAGCATTTACTAGACTGCTCATAAAAAATGCCAAGTTTTGCTCTTCTACAGAATTTTGTACCTGAATTTCTCGCTACGTGGTATTAGTGTCAAGTGGGTCGATGCGTAATACACTAATCCATCAAGAGGAGGAAAGGCAGTGCAGACGTGCAACCGTGCGCTTCGATAAAGCAGCATCAAACTTTCAAAATGTTGGCTTAATAGCAACGCAACACATGTTGCATCTGACCGCTGCTATCATCAAGTGGCGATATCGACGTCGGGACATGCGAACGTTCATACTCGGGTGACGTAAGAGTAATCCACCACCTCTTTAAGCCGACTAAGTTCAAATCCTACCGTGAATATACACTTGGCAAAACGTACTTGCCACTCTTTGTTAGGTCGATTCAAAGCGTGCAAAGTTGCATACATGACCTGTATAGATTGCAAATCGCATATTACCAAGCAGAAATATGTTGAAGTTGACCAAAGCACACTTTATAAGCTTCTTGTAGTAAGCTGGAGGTTTGTTTCTGCCGCTTCAAACAGGCGATACATAATCGCAATGACACTTTCATCACCATCTACAACAGCTTGGAGTACTTCACAGCTTGTAACACATGTTCAAGCGTCACAGAAGACACCAAATGATTCTCTTGAATCGACATATACGACC